GGAGGGGCACCGCGCTCTTCCAGACATTCTAGCTTACCTGTAAACAATACGCGGAGGGAGGAAATCATCCCCCCCCTCCTCTTCCGCCTTTGCCCAACCCCCCCCCCCCCCCCCCCCCCCCACCCCCAATCCGTCTCCCAAAGAGTTCCGCCGCAACTGATCGACCTTAAGCGAGTAGACAGCCTCTGCATCGAGGAAAAAAGAAAAATAGCCTCGCATAACACCATTCGCGCATAATTAGTAATACTGGTAAAAGCGAGCGACCTACAGACAATAACAAGCCTTTTGAACGCAGGAAATAATCTAGCCCAAACGAACAAAACACAAACTTACTTCGATCCCGTGCCATGATCTTGGCTGTTGAGCAGATTTGACGTACTTCCACGTCCCACAGTCGCTTCCGTCTTTGTCGGACACATTTGAAACTAAGGCAAACTCCACGCAGCACCACACATCGGGTAATTGGACCGTTAGCCGGCCGTGATCACAGGTATTCAAACGCACACGGCCGGCAAAACGTGCGAAAGAGAGGCCGTTGCTTCGATGACGTTGCATTCGTATCTTCAACACGTTTGAAATAAAACGATGAGCAAACTGCATTATAAAACTCATAAAAGACACAGCAATAATAAATTATTTCGCATGTCAATTTTGCGACAATATCATGAATAAGTTCTGAACATGTTGCAAAATATTAAATACTAAACTAAGCCTGCAATGATGAAAAGCAAATTCAGCAGACATGCAACCTTCTAGAAAGGGAGCGGAGGTCATCCGGGCGGCGGGGAGAAAGAAGAAGACGCCGCTGAGAACGGTCGTGTTTTCGATGTTCTCCAAGGAAAACATACCGGCCACCGGCCGGGGAACCGCTGAGGCTTCGGCCAGTACTACTGAAATGTTGACCAATGAATACCGGACCGTGCTACCTCGTCTACCCACAGGTAACTTGAGCCTGAACTCCGTCTTTCTTCATGGCGATCTCGCCGCACGACCCTACCGAGCCCCAGACTTCCGTGACGCCTTACGAGATGTTGTCGACGCCCAAGATATCATCGGAATAGGCCAATTTCAGATGAGCCATGTCTGGATGGTAACGTGCGCAAACGCCTTAAGTAAAACTAAGCTTGTAAACAAAATGGAGCTTACCGTGAAGGGACGCAGATGCCTCATCATCGATCCCGACACCAGAGATGTGAAGCTGAAACTTCTCTGGTTACCTGTACACATGGAAAACCAGAGAATCGAAGAGGCACTGGCGCCTTTTGGCACGGTCTGTTCCATTGTACGAGAAAAATGGAAGTGCTCTGGAATGGAGCAAATGGAAACGCTCAACAAAGAGGTGACCCTGACACTTAGAGAAGGAATGAATGCAACGAATATTCCACATCAGCTCACGGTCTTCGGCTGTCGAAGCCTGGTGCTCGTCCCTGGTCGGCCACCACTGTGTCTTCGGTGTAACAGAATTGGTCACATCCGTCGTGAGTGCAGAGTCCCGAGATGCGGCGAGTGCCGACGCTACGGACACGACGCGAGTGAGTGCGTCACCACCTACGCAGACAAGCTGAGGCAGTCGAGAAGCCTAGCAGACGATGTTGTCCACGATCATCTTATGGACATCAGCGAAGTCGTTGATGCCACAGGGGACATCACCTCTTCCCTTATCAAGACACAAAGGACCGAGTCGGAAACGTCTACACAGCGACCAGAAGAACTTCGTTCTGACCCCGAGTCTGCCAGCACCTTGCCAGGACTGTCAACACCAACCGAGTGTGTCACGGAAACGAAGAGAGATTGGTCGGATAGCGAGTTTCCATCCCTTAACGCACCACCTGAGTTACCGTGCCAGCAAGCAATTGCCCGACGCGAACGCGCCACGACGTCCACAGGCACATCGGTGAAACGACCTGCTCCTACGACGACAAGTAACGCGCAGCCCTCCGCCTCAGGTATCATTGCCGAGAGCAAGAACGACGAGGGAAGTGAGGTGAAACGCAAGCCAACTGCGGTGCGAGAGTTCCTCTGCAACAAGACGTCGCAATCTGAAGCTCTGGACGTGAGGAACGATGACGATGTGCTCCCACCCTAACTAGAAACCTTCCTGACATCACCCCTCAGCTTCGCTACCATTAACGTGAGAGGACTGTGTTCACGTGCACGGCAGTCTCAATTGTACAAGCTCCTTTTAAAGGAACATCTTGACTTTGTTGCTGTTCAAGAGACAAAGATATCGTCTGACGAGGATACTGCTCGTGCACTGGACCCCTTCCTCTCACATTACGAGGTATGCGTCAGTCATGCTGATGGCTTGTCGGGAGGGTGTTTTTTGTTTTTGAACAGGAACTTAGGGTATTCATCACTTTCTCACACTGTCGACGATAAGGGAAGGTTCATATGTTGCGATTTTCTTTTATACGGTACCTACTGGCGATTAATTTGCATATATGCCTATAATGACGTTAGACAGCGTCATTCCTTTTTTGAAAGCCTGATCCCATTTCTCAGCACCGACAAACATATTGTTTTATTTGGAGATTTCAACTGTGTGTGTAGCATAAAAGACAGGTCAGTGCCTTCTGCAAGGCCCGATAGAAGTTCCGACATACTAAACACTCTTGCATACGACTATCACCTTTTTGACGTCGGAGCTTCCCAAAATACTACTCTCCGATTCACTCACCTTCATGCTACAAGTAATGCGAGACTCGATCGTATTTACGTCTCAAGCTCGCTTATTTCACACGTGACTGCTTATGACGTAAAACCAGTTTCTTTTTCGGACCACTGCCTTGTAAAGATCCGTTTTGGAACAGACGCACCGCGAAAGGCACAACCAAATTGGGCTTTATGGAAACTAAATACAAGACTGCTAGACAACCAAGACTTTCAGAAACGTGTCCGCGAATGTTTTAATCACGTGTCAACGAATCAGAAATTTGGCATATTTGCTCAGTGGGACTCCTTCAAACAGGAAGTTAAGAATGAAGCAATCGAATGCGCGTGCATTGCATCCTTTCATGCAAAGAAGGAAGAAGCTACACTTTTGAAAAATCTATGCATGCTTCACGAGTTGGAGTGCGAAACACCTGGTATGTTCCAAGAAGACATTCTTCGTGTAAAATGTCAGCTACAGCAATACGAGCACATTCGTTTACACGGTGCACTAGTACGGTCCCGGTGTAGGCGTTTCTTGTCCTCAGAGACACCCACGCGCCGTGCACTCGATGATGAGAGGCGTAACGGCCTTTCAAAGAAAATTAGAGTTTTAGAATGTAATGGGACACTCTCAGACAACGAAGAAGTCATCATGAAGGCATTTGAGTTGCATTACAAAAGTCTCTTTGGAAAAACGCAACATTTAGACATCCAGTTGGCAAAAAACTTAGTTTCTTTAATGCCCGAGGTAAAGCAGCTTCAGCGAGATCTCCTCAGTGGACCAGTAACATTGGAAGAAGTTCGATGCGCGGTAGACGAGTTGCCAAATTCTAAAACACCAGGACCTGATGGGCTCCCTGCAGAGTTTTACAAGACATACAAGGACTTGCTATGTCCTTTCCTACTTGAGGTGTTTTTGGAGGCGTACGAGATGGGAACTTTACCGCCGTCATTTTATGAGAGCCATACTGTGTTGATCCCTAAAAGTCAAGACCCAGACAAATTACAGCGCATTGAAGGCTATCGACCAATTAGTTTATGCAACGTAGATTACAAAATTTTTGCTAAAATTTTGACAAAACGATTACATTGTGTCACGTCATCTGTTGTTGGAGACCACCAAACCTGTGGGATTAGGGGGAGACGTATACAAACTAACATCCACGTTGCGCGTTCAGTGATAGAAAGCTGCGTTCTTCATGCCGGTCAAGTCGCCATGGTTCAGGTAGACTTGGCTAAGGCATTTGATCGCGTGTCCCATGCTTTCCTGTTTGCTATTTTACGTCATGTAAACCCAGGACCAACACTTTTAAAGGGTGTTAAGTTATGTTACCGTAACTGTGCCACCAGGCTCATAGTTAACGGTTCACTTTCAAATCGAATTAGTCTGGAATCGTCCGTCAAACAAGGATGTCCGCTATCACCGCTTTTATTTTCGCTTTATTTAGAACCCCTCTGTTTAAGTGTACTTAACAGCCCTATCGTGGAAGGTTTCCGTCTCTACTCTTCTGAAGTTAAAGTATTGGCAAATGCAGACGATATAGCTTTCTTTTGTGCCGATAAACGCAGCGTCGACAATGTCCTTACAATAACACAAAACTTCTGTGACGCAACCGGCGCACTCGTTAATAAGGAGAAAAGCGTAGGTTTCTGGTGCGGGCAATGGGCCACAACACCATCAGAGTATGCTGAAATATCGTGGAGCTGCATTGCCCCTCAGTACTTAGGAGTTCCTCTTAACAGTATCCGTAACAATGGTCATTACTGGACTGAACGGGTGTCGAAAATCAAATGTCAAGCTGACAAGATGAAATCCAACCAGTGGTCAGTTTTCGGGCGAGCTAAGGCCTGTAATATGTTTCTCGCCGCCAAACTTTGGTATATACTTCAAGTGATTTGCTGTACCAGAAGCCATATTCAAAAATTCCACAGAGTGTTTGCTACTTTTATATGGAGTTCCATTTGGGAACCTACAAGACGTGATAACCTCTTTCGCCCCATCGATGTCGGCGGTCTCGGACTCATACACATCTTTCTAAAGCAAGTAATATCTCGATTTTTATTCTTCAAAACTGCATCTCATCATTTCCTTCGCACTTACTTACAGACGGAACTCGCGAGTGCATTACCTTATTTGGTGGTTACAACGATACCCGCAAGCACATCACGTCCTGTGGGGTACCTCAAAGAAGTAGTGAGCGCGATTGAGTTTCTAACAGCTCGTTTTTCTTTGGAGCATTTATTTACGGTTTCACGCAAAGTCTTATATGCTGATCTGATTGACATAACGTTCCCTGAACCTTTGTATCGAAGCATATATAAGTGAAGGCCCTGGAAAAGATGTCCTCAGGCGTGTCCGAAAACTACATGTCTCGCCTACAACAAAGTCATTCTTCTTTAAGCTCCATACTTCTACGTTACCTGTAAAACCCTGGCTTCGCGAACGTGAAATTTTTGTGCCGTGGTCAATCAATTGTCGCCTTTGTAACCAACCGGAAACTATAGAGCATTGTTTTATTTTCTGCACTGATGCTTACCTTTTCTGGGATGTCCTACAAAGGACACTGAAAAAAGACTTGAATATCAATGCTTACACAATACGTTTTTTGCCCTTAAAATCGAATGATAGCTTTCCTTACGATCTGTTTACATTAATGGGGTTGCATAGCCTCTGGAAAACAAGAATGATTGACAGGAATGCGGACCCTCCCCGATCTACCAAATCAAATTTCATTGAAACCGTAACGCATGTACGAAATGTATTTAACTACCTTGACGAGCGGCCAGATTGGTATGTTCTTTTTGATCGATGCATTAATCTACCTGACTTTTAGCACGTGCATTTTGTATTTATTTAATATTCCTTTCTGTTCCTTCTGTCTGTTCACGACAATGAGCCTATGAGAGTATAAGATAGAGAATCATATGTAATGGAAATTGGGATGTGATAACCTTACCATGTTTTTGTGTTGCAGTTGTCTAATATTTCCATGTAATAAATTATAAAAAAAAAAAGGGCGGCGGTAGCGTAGTGCGTTGACACTCTGGTTTTCTGAGCTTGTGGTCGTTGGTTCGAGTCGCGGTAGGCGGTATTTGCTTTTTTACACTGTTTCTTAATTTTAAATGTTTTTTCTCAGCTTTTCGTATTCGTTCTTATTATTTTTAATATTTTTTCTCACCTTTTTGTATTTTGTTTTGTTTTATTTCGTATTATTTTATATTATTTTGTATTATTTTAAATATTTTTTTCTCACCTCTTTGTATTAGTTTTTATTTTAAATATTTTTTTCTCATCTTTTTGTATTACTTTTTTATTATCTTAAATATTTTTCTCTCACCATTTTAAATTTGTTTTTATTATTTAAAAATTTTTCTCACCTTTGTGTATTAGTTTTTTTATATTTTATATATTTTCTATGTGTATGCTGCCATCGGGAACGTTCTTCGGGGTAACAATCACGCAGAAGGTGAAAATAAAAAGTGCGAGCCCACATTTGCATTGATGCAATTCAGAAACCCTGTCCCTCTTGTTTTGCCGGGATGATTCGCTCCCTCCGTGCTAATAGGTGGGTCAGTGTAGTAGGCAAACCTCGCAAGTCCTTTCAACGAAGAAATACAATTAATAATAATGGGTACATTTAGAGAAAAATGGGAAAATGTAAGTGATAAAACTGCCACAGTGATGAGGCCAAAGTTTGTCATGAAAGCGGTCCATATTCACCCACTATTGAAACAAAAATACCGCCATTTTAAGGCAGTAATTTAGTTGAGCTCATAGCTCATAAGCACGTCTCTTAATTTTCTGACTTCCGGAAAGTAGTATTTAATTTTGTTCCCGTAGATCAGCGCTATTCCCCGCGTGCCGCCAGGTCCTACTTATACAGGTTGCGCTCCGCAGTTTTACTTATTGTTAGGCCTAAACACTTTTTTATTCCTGAGATTCAACTACAGCGCGGATAATTAAACTAGCTTTCAGAAATGCTATCGTTCGGCATTGTGACATTTATTTTTCGTAGTGTCAAGGGGTCACATTCACAAACCCAGCAGTGTGTACATCCAGAACGCATTGGTGTTTCTCGCTTTTTTGAGTAAAGAAAAAAGTTTTTATATTCGCGTTCCTTTGGTACGGTATGTCGTATACCATAAGCTATTAAACAGACAGATACCGTTTGGCCTATGTGAGCATTTAAAATATTTCTCTTAGATGATCGTTTTATATGGTAACTACCACATAAAACAGTCAATTCCTGCCTGAAATAGCATATTTTCACACTAGATTAAAATCACCATTAAAATGATCTCTCGGGAGATTTATGTACCTCTTGTAGCGTCATAAGCAATAAACACATATCTTACTTTCCTAGTTCCTGGAAAGTAATGTTTATTATTGTTTTGTAGCTCAAAGCGCGTGCTCAATCATGCCACGTCTTTTTTCTTTTTTCATTCGAGGCTCCGCTATACCGTTTTTATTTTTTATCAGAGCCAAGCACGTGCGTATAACGCCAGACCTTAAGTATAGTACATCTAATTAAACTAACTTCCTGAAAAAAGTGTCGTTCGGCGTTGTAAAAGTTCATTTTCGTGGCATAGGGGGTCAGATTCTCAAATCCTGGACTGCAAATTTTCCTCACGGCATTGTTTTTTTTTTTTTTTCGCGTTTTCGCAATAAAACACGTCAGCCTTGCCATGGTGGGATCAAATACGCCAGCGTCGGCAGTCATTTACGAAGGATTGATCAACGCAAACATTTCCACTCGCTACATATGAATCGCCGCAGTTCGTCGGAATCTCAATGACGTGTCTGCATAGTCAAAAAGGCAAAAAAAAAAATAGAACGATGCCGGTCAGTAAACGGACGTTCCCGGGGCTCGCCAGCCTGCAAACAGCAAAGCGCCAATGCCGGCCAGTCACTGAACTTCCATGTAAATACTTCCCATCGAAGACAGGAAAATACCGATGCCGGCCAGTTACTGAACTTCCATGTAAATACTGGCCATCAAAGACAGTAAAATACCGGTGCCGGCCAGTTACTGAATTTCCGTAAATACCGGCCATCAGAGACAGCATAATACCGATGCCGGCCAGTTACTGGAACCCCCAAGGAAAGACTAGCCAGCAAAGACAGCAAAAACCTGATGCCGGCCAGTCACTGTAACTTCTACAGTTGGACTGGCCAATGAGCAAGACGAAACCCCGACGCCGGCCGGTGGCTCCCCGGAGCCCATGGCCAGACGCTGCCATCCTGTTACCATGGGCGGGCCGGCGTAGTCCCGATACCGGCCGACGCGGAGTGCTACCTGCATCTACATGTTGACTGGCACCATATAGTGCCATATACAGGAGTATCAGGCATCCTATACTCTTATATATGGCAGCCACTGGCACCATATATGACTTTATCTGGCAATATATGTCGTCATATATGGTGTCACCTTACCATATCTGCCCTGATTTCAGCCCTTGTATGGCAATATATGACCGTATATGTCTACTTATATGCCCATATACGGCCCTATATCAAATATATCTGGGTCATATATGACATTTCTGTAAGGGGTTACCCTGCTGAACAGTAGTTGGCATCAGGGGCGTAGCCAGGGAGGGGGGAGGGGGACCTATGGAGATTCAGCTCCCCCCCCTCCCACCCCCTTGAAATCCAGCCAACACTATAATATGCAGATGCAGTTTGACCCCCCCCCCCCCTTGAAAAAAATTCCTGGCTAGGCTCCTGGTTGGCATGGACGCCCCTGGCGACATTTCAGCATCTACAGTATTATTAAAAACAATTTATCACAATCCAGTGGACGTGTAGCGGGTTGATGTATAATGACTAGAGAGAAATGTGGATCAAAGACAACAAAAACCTCACTTGTATAAGTGCGTTGTCAGCGACCCCGGAAGTGTATTTTACGTGGGGGGGCTGGCGGTCGAAATAAAAGGTGAAAGGGGGGAGGGGGGGGGGGGAGTAAAATTGAAAAAAAAAACAGCCATTACCAAGATTTCACTGTTAATACAAGGTTACTTATCATTTCCTATACCGTATGCCCCTACATTAATTCAAAATTCTTGTCACGAAGCAATGAAATAAAGACACGATCTGATCCAATAGTAGTAGCTGCACGGTGGCATGTCGATGTAGAATGTAATGCACCGTAAAATCGGGCGCCTGCACGTAGACAGCTCACATTTTCAACGAAGGTGTATTTTAATCCTGAACGCATTCCTCTGAAATTTCTCGGCGTAGCTTGGTTCTTGTGAAAAGTTGTGACAACCATTCTTGAAAATTTCAAAAATGCCTCCGCCATATAGACCGAGTTTACCACCGGTGGACGCGGTCGTCAGCATTAAATTCCAATGAAACCGAGCTATGCCTAACATTCACAGACGCAGAGTTAGGCCGAGAAATTTCGCAAGAATGCGTGCACGACTAAAATTTACCTTCGATGAAAATATGAGCTCTCTCCGCGCAGACGCCGATCTTCCCGGTGCATTTTACATCGACACCGTAGAACAATACTATATTGCGTTGAATAGCAGTGAAGCTTGCTAGTATTTGCATAGACGTGTTCCGCCATTAACCATGCCTCGCGTCCGTTCTATAAATTTAACGGCTTTCTGAAAGCATCCTATTGAGTCGCAGAAACGTTTTCATCATTCTTTTGTCTCGCAGTTTTTATAATTTACTTACCATTATTGGTAAATATATTGATTCTTATATAACGTATATTAGAGTGCAGTAACCTTTTGACAGAAATTGAAGAAATACTACGTTGCCAAAAAAAGCGGGGTTTATTTAGTCGCCCAAATTTATTTGGTGCAAGAACCAGTGCACACGATCTCCTTGAAAATAGTTCATGACGCAAGGTGCGCAATCACGCCGAAAGTAGCTGACCGCTCAGCGGTTCTGGAGACGAATTCTCCCATTACAGCGTTCAAGTCAAGCTGCCTGGTCTTCTTCTTATGAACATGAAGCAGAAGCAGCTGGCCGAGACGTTTCTGAGTCATCCAATTTCGCAGACACGTTTGGACTCTCTTCAGGACACTGAAAGAGCGCTCTCTGGTAGCGGCCGATGCAGGCACGGTCAATAAAAGTTCTACCAGGGCTACTGCCTGGTCAAGGAGGTCGCGCACCGTCTGAGAATTTTCATTTAGGGCTTGTACCACATCTTCAACTTTTTTCATTTGTGCAGCTGAGATGGTCGGAAGGGAGCATGAGCTGTGCGCCAAGCCTTCCTAGCTCAAATTCAGGGGCGTGAAAGCCGATTTCGTCTCTCAGACGCTCCGCGCTGAAATGCTGTCCAGCTGCTGCGTGGACCAGAACGTTCTCTAGCGTCGCTAGTCTCTCCATGCCGGGCTGGTCAAACCTTCTACTTATTGCTTGTGACGCAGTCGATCGCCGTAAAATACTCCTTTCTCAACCTTGTGTTTGCATCAAGAACTGCAGGTCTTGCTGGGGTGCTGGTTTGTTCGAATCGTGCCGGTGGTTTTGCAGGCCTCGGTGGTTTGGCAGACGGTTGTTTCAAGCCCAACTTCTCCGCCGCGTCCTTCGACTCCTCCCAGATGCTTTCGAAACAGACATCCGATCTTAGTTGTGTTAAGGTCTGAGTAAGGATCTTCGCAGCTTGTCTGGCCCCAGTGGCGCTGTAATGAACGTTTTGCAGTGTCCTTGCGAGTTCTTCACATGGCCCGAAAACTGAGATCGCCACGTTTAATCCAAAGACTGTTTCTAGCTTACCCAGAATCTTGTCATATCCTCTCATAGCCGTTTTGCGGTCATCTCGAACTGAACCTGGAGTTTGGAGGATTTCCCAGAGTGTTGCTCGAACTCGTTCGTAATTTTCGAGGAATCTTCGCACACATTTCACCCGAACCACCCATCGTGTCGGACACAAAGAAAGCAGGGTGGTTGGCGGTGGACCACGATCCGAATTTTCCCCCACGGAAGGAAGAAC